CGGGTATACCCGGGTAATACCCGCACTTTTGCATGGTTTCGCCCCCGGGACCACACCGACAGCCGCTACAACTACTGAAAACCCCGCATACCACTTTCGCATACCACTATACCATACCACCCCAAAACTAATCAAAATATCGCCAAATACCAGTCTCATACCGGTAAAGATTGCACACTGCTGTAGAGCTGTAGAGCTCTACATCCGGCGCGTGACGAAGCGCCTGCGTTGTAAAGCGATGTAGAGGCGCTCTACAACGTAAAACCTCCACAACAAACTCTAGATGATACAGTCCCAGTGAGCTAAAAGTACAGTTGAGAGACAGAGATGAGCGGCGAACGAGGTACGGTCGCTCTCCGACATGAGGCGCGTTGCACTTGCCAGTGCTGCCCTGGCCTTCTGTCTGCCCGCCCAATGGGTGGCAGGTGCCTCTGCTGCTGTGGCATGCCTCACGGCTGCGACTGGCCGGCGCCTCGGCGCGTCAGCTCGGCTTGGCACAGCGATCGTGGCCAGCGCAACTCGCCTGGACTCAACGCTCAGCCAGGAGCTCCCGCACGCGCTGGCGCGAGCCATGGCGCATGCAACGCGCAGCAATGCCCGCCTCGCCTCGCGCAAATGCGACTGTCCTCGCAGCCGACAGTCCACCGCCTGCTAAAGAAGCACTGCGATGAATGCGGCACCGGCGACGCATGGGCAGGCTGGTCATGACGCAGTTATAGGGTGTTGTGTGCCGTCGGAGTGACTCTCTGTGTCAGTGATAGTCAGGGCCGTCCATCAGAGCTCCAGTAAGCTCGGAGACACCCCATTAGTGCGGCTCGACCTCTTCGAGTCACTGCCTTCCCGGCGGTTTGGCTGTAGAGCCTCTACAACCAACTCTACAGCAAAATCGCGCTCTACATCGCTCTACAACGGAGGCGCTTCGTCCCGCGGCGGATGTAGAGCTCTACAGCTCTACAGCGCTCCAGAGCGCTCTACATCTCTACAGCTCTACAGCGCTCTACACTCTACATCCTCTACACGCTCCCTCAGCACGGGCCATCGGCTGCCATCGAATTATCACCATTTGCGTCTGGAGGATGGATAGCTGCGATCTCTGTGACCCAGCCATGGTAGATCGCTGAAATGGCTGAAATGGCTGTCCCCCAGCCATGTTTACGCAAGATGGCTGCGATGTAGCCAGCTCAGCCAAGAGGGCTCACAACCTCGAGCCGGGCGGTATGGCTGCGGTAGTGCGTCTCCAGCCATGTCTACGAACACCAAGGATGGCTGCCGTGTGCGTATTGCATGCAGGCTCCGTGTTTGCTGTTAATTAAACGAGGGTAAACTCCGGAGCCTGCATGCAAAACCGGGTTCCCCGGGCCACTTTCGGGGGGCAAACCCTGCCCGGCCCCTAGAACCCCAGGTAAGGCCCAGGTGTGGCCTAGGGCATCAGAAGGGACCAAGAGGAGTCCAGTCTGAGCCATAGAGCCCATGTCGTTGCCCCCGAAGGTCGCGTTCAAACGCCCGGAACGGCCGTTACAGTGGTGTCCGGCCGGCGTGATCACCGAGCTGTGACGCTCAGGGAAGCCAGATGAGGTGCTGGTTTCTTTGGCCAGGGCTGGCCTTCCCCCCAGGCTGGATCAGCTGAGCAAGGTTTGGGGCGAATCCTATACACAGATCTTCAGATATTGTCACGGATGCCCGAAA